CKGGAAGTCCCCCGGGGGCCCAGGCAGCGAGGCTAGCCCAGGACCCCCCCCTGGACGTCGGGGAGGCCAGGGCTCCTCTGGGCAGGCTAAGTCCTCCTCCTCCTCTTCCAGGGGAGGAGGACTTAGCCTGCCCAGGACCCCCCCTGGACGTCGGGGAGGCCAGGGCCGCCTTCCCCCGGGGCTCCTCTGGGCAGGCTAAGTCCTTCGCGGAGGACTTAGCCTGCCCAGGACCCCCCCCGGGCCTTGGGGGACTTACCTGCTTCTCCGGGCAGAGTGCTGGGCCCTGGCCCTGCTCGTCCTTGCGAAGTGCCTTGCTAAGTGCCCTGTCGCATACACCCCGTGGTCGCTACGCTCCTGTGGTCGCTTGCCGGCTCCCGGCTTTATGGGAAAGCCGGGGGGCCGGCCCGGGGGCCCATTGGCTGGCTCCATCGAAGCACCTAAAGCTTGTTGGGAGAATGAGGAAGGGAACCAATGAACAAGGCTGCCCTGATACCCAAAGCACCTGGTACTCCCAGCACCACCYGAGTCCCCACCCAGCTCTCTATTCTAAGTACCTCATTAGGGGGATTCACCCCACCCTCACAGCTAAGTCCACTGGCCTACTGAGTAACTAAGRAAAAATAACTAAGTGCCCCACTATGTCTGGTACACCAAGCACCATACAAGTCTGCACCCGGCTGCCCAGGCCCTGACTGCATCCATCCACCGGTCCACTCCCCATCTTCTCCTCCACCTTTCCACTGACCTCTGTCAATAGCTACTTGCGCACCCACCTAAATACCAATGTAACTGACTAACCACCCCTCTCTGTCCAAACACCTAACGTGAGTCCTGTCATCTTTTCCTCTGGACACAAGCCCAGCCCCCTGAGAGTCTTCCTATGACTGATTCCCCTGTCCTGCAAAACTGCACACGTTCACCCAGACACACTGTGCAGTACAGCACTCGGGAGCTGCTGAGCTGCACACTGCTCTAACTAACTGCTTAGCCTGACTGGACTAGAGTACGCTAGACATCCCACGCGCTCAAAAACAAACACGTGCAAAATAACCATACCTTTGCAGCACAAAGCCATCCTTTATTGACAGGCCTCTTTTTCAAAGAGACATAGACACGAGTGCAACCCACACCCTTCACCACCGCACCAAACATAATAATAGAGACCAGGCCGCCTAGATCGATGTTATTTCCCCAGGCACGCTGCCTGCTTGACTGCTTCCTGTCACTGGTCGCGTCGATCCTTCGGTCCCACTGACACGTGTCCGCTTTCTGCATGAGGCAAGGGGACAAGTTCCTTCTTCACAACCTGTTTTGGACAAAACCAACATTTCAGAATCACAACAACGTTCCAAACTAAAGCAGCAACCTTCCTAACTAACTAACTAACTAACTAACTAACAGCACTGTTCAAAAACAACAGCTTTTCAAACTAAACCAACAATAACATTGCAAACTAAACCAGCAACCTTCTCTACCAACAATCGAACAGCAATGTTTCAAACGGCCCTATGTCAAACTAACTATGCCTGCAACATTTCAAACCAAACCAAACCAACAAACAGCAACATTTCAAATCAGACCAGCAACATCTCTAAACAACAATAGTATGTCCAGCTAGGCCAACAACATTTCAAACTCCACCAGCAGCCATCCTAACAAACGGCAATGTGTCAAACCAACACTATGTCTAACTAAACCAGCAATGTCTCAAACAACAAGTTTTCAAACCAACAAACAGCAACATTTCAAACTAGACCAGCAATGTTTCAAACCAACAATATTTCAAACTAAGCCAGCAACCTTCCACGCTAACAAACAGCATTGTTTCAAACTAACAGGAACAACATTTCAAACCAARCTAGCAACATTTTAAATGGTTTTCAAGCTAAAGTAAAGTAAACTAAACCAACCAACATTTTAAACTACACCAGCAACCTTCCTAACAGCAATGTTTCAAACCAACAATAATATTTCAAACCAAACCAGCAACCTTCCACACCAAACAGCAATATTTCAAACAACAGCATGCGAAACTAACTGCACCTGCAACATTTCAAACCAAAAAACAGCAACATTTCAAATCAGACCAGCAACATCTCTAAATGACAATTATATTTCCAGCTAAGTCAACAACCTTCCAAACCAAACAGCACTGTTTCAAACTAAACCAACAACATTTTAAACTAAACCAGCAACCATCCTAACAAAGAACAATGTTTCAAACCAACAATAMTATTTCAAACTAAACCAGCAACCTTCCACACTAACAAACAGCATCGTTTCAAATCGACACCCAGCAACACTTCAAACAAAACCAACAACCTTTCAAACCACCAGAGGGTTCAAGCTAAACCTGCCACACTTCCTGGTCCTGGCACTAGCGCACTGGGAGCCAGATCTGCTCCCAYGCCACATCCCTGCAAAGACTAGCCCTGCACCTCAGAGAGCAGGTGACAGCCTCACGCCCGTGCACCCTCCGACCCATCCACGCACAACACAAGCAGCCTAGCCAGCAGACACCCTCTCACAGCTTGGGCCTCCCTTGGGTGCACCAGACACGTGCGTCTCCCTGGGGACAAGGCAGGCCACCTCACGCCCAGACAGACGTGCCACGCGGGCTCCACTCSCGCACACACAGCCTGCTGCCCTGGGCCACACATGCAGAGCACTCCTCACAGAGGGGCCACCTGGCTGCCCTCTCGCCACAGAGACCAGCTCCGTGGTCAAGTTCCTGCCGGACCAAATACTGGGCAGCACAGGACACCAACTCGCCCCCTGCGCCCACCCCAAAACATGTCCCCTTCCCAGGGGCCACCACCCAGCATCTCTAAGCATCCATGACTCCTGCTCGCTCTGCTTTTGGCCTCCCTGCASAAGTAGTGGGGACACAGGTTGTGCTCCCACAACCGAGGCCAGCCCCTGCTCCAAGCCTGGAAATCTGGCTAGGCCCTTCTTCAGAGCTCCTTCCTGCACCTGACTAAAATGCCAAAGTTCTGCTCCTCCCTGGTAGCCACACAGCCCTCACTGTCACACACCTACCAGCAAGCACAGAGACATGTGCACCCGGGTCCTGTCCCGCACAGGCTCTCCCGAGCGCGCCTCGTGCCATCTGCGCTCACGAGCCTCTCTGCCCCAGTGAGGCCATCTAGCCCTGAGCCTGCCCACCAAGCTGAGGGAGACTCCCTCACAGTAACTCAGGCCCCTACAAAGACAAGCCCTGAGTCGAGAGCGCAAACACAAAAGCCATTAAATACTTCACAGCTTCTTCACACTCCAAAGGATCAAAGAATAGGACTGTCACTGACCTGCACATCCCACGCTGTTGTCCCTGCAGGGAGCCGAACGCTGGCTTGCCTCCTTCTGACTGTCCGAGGTCACGACTCCTCATACGGACTGGGTGAATCCTTCACAGATGCAGTTCTCCTGGGATGCGATGAGCTCCTCCGATTCTCCACCGCAGGGGTTGCCAGGGGCCGGAAGAAGGAAGGAAAAAGAGAGCATTAATAGGCTGCACACAGGGAAAACCCTCAAGTCTCTGTCCCATTGTATGTGCCCACAGCAACCCAAGGGGAGGGGATGACTGCCTCCCTCTCCCACCCCCCCACAAGCAAAGCCCGAGGTCTCGGAGCCGTGGACACCGTCGCCCACGTCGGCCCGTGACGCCCGGCTCCTCGCGGCTCGCGCCCCCTCCTCACGCCAAGTGCCTGGCCCAGCATTAACACCATCACACACGACACACCGTTTAGGAAGGATTACAACACATTTTATTCTCACTCAGCCAAGTCACATAATACAAACACAAAACATGTCAGCAAAAGAACCGCCCCCTCCCAAGCCTACAGATGCACCAAGCCAACTCCCGACTCTCCCGCCGACATCACCAAAACAGGACCTGCTCTCCCCATGGCCGACCCTGCTGAGGACACCGCAGGGGCTCCTGTCCCTCAGTGACAGCAGGGCTTCCCTCCGCTCCGCTCCGCACTTCTTCCTGTGGAGGGACGGGCACTCATCCCTGGGACGAGGCACCGCTTAGCACAGTTTTAGAAGGAAGGGCTCCTTGCTTCAGGAGTTTAGACATGTGCCTCCCGTGTTAACAGGAGGGGACATGGCCTGTGGTCAGGTACATTATGGACCCTCTGCCGTGGTTCCTAAGTGTCAACAGATATCTGACCTGATCCCACACACAGGCATGGAGACCTTGCCCCGGGACACGCACCTCTGGATGATTCCGCTCGCTCAAAAGACACTGACACTACCTGAGTCACCACAGTGCGGGCAAAGAGAGCATCTGGACCCTGATGCCCGCTGGAACTTGGACGTCTCCGACATCCCGGGCAGAGAGCCCTACCACCCCACATAAACACCATCAGACTATAGAGGCCATCATGAGAGACAACCTGGGGAAAAAACTACACAAGAAAATCAGCAAAGTCCAGCATCCCTCCAAAAACCATCACACGGCACCCTGCCGTCYCCTCTCCAACATTTCAGACACTTTTTGCGCCATTCCCATCCCACATCCTGCTGCTCCTCCCATTGACTCCTGGCCACCTGCTTTCCCCTTGCCGGCAGCGGTGCGAGTCAGAGGTTGGTTTACTGCTTCGGGGCTCTTGCTCCTACCCTACAGATACTCAGACTTACGAAACAACAGTACCGGTCTGGGCAGCAGAGCCGCACATCCCTTATGAGGTCAAGTCCCATTTATACAGAGAGGGCCACAGCAGCAGCTGGGTGGCTGCGAGCACAGGGAGCCAGGCTTGGGGTTGCCCTGAAGAGCTGGAAGCTGCAGAGAGAGCAACAACAACCGCCTGAGCTTTGCCGCTCTTGAGCACTGCACCCGCCACCGGCCTCCAAAGCCCTTATGGCTTTCCCAGCATACGAGTTTCAGACCAGGAGGTGCCACCGCAGCCCTCCCCACGCGTCCCTTTCGCAGCACTCGCCTCTGCAGCTCTTGCCGTCCCCTTGCAGCGTCCCTGTGACACAGCTGCACAGGGGCCCGTCTGCCCTGCTCGTGCAGATCTGTTCACAGCCTCCGTTGTCTTCACACCAGTCGGACCCTGTGCAAACAAGGCAGGCATGTCCTTGGCAAACACGCCTTAGCCCCGTGTCCTTCCTGGAGATGCTGGGCAGCCCTTGGGAGCCTTGGGACACCCCCTCCCCTGGCTGTGGTGCAGGACCCTCTGAGGCCCTCCTGTCGCCCRGCCAGTCCTCCCTCTCTAGTAACAYGGGGCAGGGATGGCASRTGAGTGTGCGAGGACTCGTGCACCAGGAGCCCCTCGATGTCCTAGGCACTATTGGGCCTCTCCTCAAAGTGACGCGCAGCCGCTGCCCCTTGACGGCGCCTGCCGTCTCCCACGCTGCTGCTCCTAACAACATCGCTGGGCGAGGCAGATGCCGCACCAGCACTCACSCGGCTGGCACACGTGCGCGCACACAGGCAGCCCTTGTGCCAAGGCCGCTCCCGAGCAAGCCGGGAGCTGCCTGCACAGGAAGGGCACCGGCTCCAGGTGACAAAGGRCCGCAAAGGGACGGTGCTCCGACGCCAGCCCGGCGGGAGCGCTTCGGCAGTGCCACGCTGGACTAACGCTGGCTCTGGCTGYGGAGCGCGCACACTTACGCTTCCGACGGATCGGCCCCACCGACAGGATCTGCTCCTTGGGCTCCTTGGTGAAATCCCTGGCCATGCGGCTATTCTGAGGGCAGTTCTAGGTGGGAACAGAAGTCAGACGGAGTCACCAGCAGCCCCTGTGCGCACTCGCCCTGCGCCCCTCCAGCCTATCCCCATGCCTTCCCGCTAGCTCCCCAACTTCTGGGCCTGGCCTCAGGCCACATACGTGACGGGGCCGTGGTCAAGGCCCCCTCCTGTCGCTGTGAGAAAAGGGGAGTCCTTCCRCCCCCGCACAAGGCTACGTCTCCTGCACACCAGGGGCAGGCTCGGGCACTTTCCCCTGGGGCCGGCAACCCCCCTGCCCCGTGCGCCAAGGAGCGCTTGGGAAACTGGCTCTTTTGCAAGATTATTTTCTTAAGAGACATCTCTCCCCTGCACAGAAAGGCTCAAGAGAGGTTCAGCATTTGGCAGACTTACTATTTTGCAGGAGTATTTCTCTGAGTCGCAGAGCGAGACAGCGCAGTGGAGGTGAACCTCATCGTAATCCCCGATGAACTTGAAGACGGTGACATGGAAGCGACAAGTCAGGGACACCCCGTTCTCCTCAATGCCAATGGTGTTGTCCTTCATGTTTTGGCACCTGCACAAATGGCTCGTGCTCTCCCATCTCATCTCGAGCACCTCTGTCGCCCCCCCATCCCTCTAACTCTCCTCTCCTGCTTCCCAGCGTGATGCCAATAAAGCGACCTCATCCACACGACCGTGGCAGCACTTCATTGCAGCATATTGCTATAGGGTGGCGGCAGTGCCACCTGCCTATGTAGCTCTGCCTCCCTGTGACACTGTTGGCTTGCTTGCGCTGACACTCACTAGCAACAGTTCATTTCCCCTGTGCCTTTAGCAATATAGGAAGCTTTCTGCAGGTCACTTCGGGGATGCTGGGAACTTGGCGAGCTCTCTTTGTCCAGAAACGCTTGACTTTCCGCCGCTAGGAATGAACACCATGCCTGTCTCTTCCCTACACAGCACAGTCGGCGACATGCCAGCCCTCGACTCCTTGTCCCTTGCCTACCTTGTGTCGTGATGATGGCATGACAGCCCCCCTTCTGCCRTTCCTCGCCCACTTTCTCTAATTTCCCTCGCAAACGCTCCTAACCGCAAGAAAAAGGAAAAGCCAGAAGCCACAGAGTGTCTCGGCGGTAGCTCACCCTCCCTCGATGATGAAGTAGCGCAGCTTGTCGTTGCTGTCCCGCGAGGGCGTCGCGTAGCACTTGTTCAGCGTCAGGATCAAGTGGGTCGAGTCCGCTCCGACGACAAACACCCCCACGTAGAGYACGTCCCGGGTGGTCAGCACGACCTCGCCCTGGCGATACGGGTGCTTATAGGACGAGTTCTTATACAGYGCCATCTTGGTCGTGAAGCTGCCTTCCTGGGTCGGGACCGTCAGGTTAATCACGCTGGCAATGAAAAGAAAACATGCTCAGAGAAGGTAACACCTCACAGGCCYGTGCTGTCCCTCCACCCCTTAGAGGAAGGCTGGGATGGGCAATTCACCTCCGTGCTTACCTCAGCATCGGCCTCACGACAGAATCCAGAGAGATTTTTATATCCAGCTCATAGGCACAGGAAAACTCTACGTTGATAGTGCGGTCCCGAGTGATGATGTTGCCTGTGTTGTTGGCGCTTTCGATCCACACCGTGTTCTTGTACACGATGTGCGTGCCATTGGACTGCAGAGGAGGCAAACGGTGCCGCGTGAGCTCTCCTGTCTCCCTTCCCCCTTGTAACTTGCCCCTCAGCCCTGAAACCAGCTCCGAGCAGTGGGCTCGGCCACCCCTGAGACACTGCCAGCTCTTGCCAGAATGGCTGTGCAAAGAGCCACGGGTCACTGAACTGGCGACTCGCCACGTGTCCCTGAAACGCATCTCATCCGTGCATCCAGTCACGCCAAGCTGCCCCAACCCCATCCTTGGCAGTGAGCTGCTGCCCCCCACTCCCCCCACGCCGCTGCACCTGCACCACGTTGCCGCAGTTCCCCTTGGTGTTGTTGATCTGGAAGGAAATGAAATCTTCGCCCTCGATGCCAGGGCAGTGGCGGTCGTTGACACGCACGCCCTCTCGCTCAAAGCCCAGCTGGAAGAGCTTGCACTTCGAGATCGACACTTCCATCTGGGCAGCTTTGCAGGTCACCTCCGCGTCAATGATGTCGTGGGTGTCTAGAGAAGGGTGAAATGACACAGGAGAACCTCTGCAAAAAGTGCTGCCGGCCCAGCCTGCCCACCCGCCCTCCTTAGAGGTGCCACAATCAGCTGCTCCTGCGGGACAGCATGGTGGTCCCACCTCCTAAATCTGCACTATGCATTAACAGCACCCTGAATCTTGAGCGCCCAGACAGAGGTGGTGCTCACGCCACTGGCCCCTTGTCCCTGCAGCACAGCCCCATCACACTGCCTACGTCCGAAGCATTAGGCTGCTGCACCCACTCGGGCTCTCAAACCCTGCAGGCACTCGTTTCTGTGGGGTACTGCACAGAGGTCAGTGCTGTGACGTACACCACCTAACACCTGCACAAGCGTTTAGCTCTGCAGGAGCCCAGTTATCTGCTACCTTGCTATACATCGGGTCAGAGCTGCCAGGGCACCGCAAACCTACTGCACAAGTGAGTCTGCGCTCCGAGCACAGCGAGACCGCGGCAGCTTCGGCTGCAGCTCTGCCCAGCAATCAAATCACTGTGCCTTGCCAAATTACAGCAAAGGCTTGCACCCCAACAGAAACAGGAAAGACCCCAGCTTGCCTTGGCTGCTGCTGAGGACTCCCAATCAAATAAGCACAGCGAGAGGCTATCCGGACAGCCAGCACCCCCAGCCTCTACTGTCAGACTGCCTCCAAAAGCCCACGCTGCTCTGCCCCGGCACCGAGCAGGGCTGCACCGCTCGGGGAGAGGACTCACTGTTTCCGTAGGGCGGAGGCTCGATGCAGCCACACAGCTCCCCTCCGTTGTCCAGCTCGCAGCTGCGGTTGGGACAGTCGGCGCCCACGCACGGGTCTTCCACCACTCCTGCTAAAGAGGAAAAGAGGCACAAGAAATGGCACCTTCATCCTAGGACCGGAGCGGGGACACGTGTGCGTGCCATCGGCAACTTGCCTGAGCCACGAGGACTGTCCCTCTCCACCCCAGGTGAGCCTGACTTTAGAGAAAACCTCCCTTAAATGCAACCTGTGCTGCTAGGCACCCCCAGCTCACTTACAGCAATTTTCCTTCTCAATCCACTCGGTACCGAGGATGCCGAAAGTGCGGCAGGCCTCTCCGTAGGCAGCGAGGGAGCCACAGAGCTGGATCTTCTTGTGATTGTAGCAACCGTCCAGAAAGCAGGACTCGTAGAAAGGCAGGGGGTCCAGCAGGCCGTAGCAGGGCTGGAAGAAGCCTTTCATGTCCGTCAGCTTCAGGCAGTAGCTGTCGCTTTGCAGCATCTGGATCTGGACGTTGTCGCAGGTCGCGGCGTACTGAGAGTACTGCAGCTCRTTACAGCTGTGGGTGTGGCACACAGCACAGGGCTTGCGATGCGCCCGATCGCACGCTCCTGCTCGCAACGAACCCCTCTGCTCCTGCCCGTGCCGAGCACGCAGGGAGAGGGCCGCCCAAGAGCTCACCTCTTCTGCATGCCGTTGGTTTTCCAGCTCTGCGCCAGCACCACGCTGCTGACCACAGGCTTTCCCCGCAGGGTGACATAGTCGTCAGTCCGGTCACCGTTGAAGTTGCCACAAAGGCCGCACACCTTGTTCTGCAGCCGCTCCCCGATGGTGATTTTGATGACGTTAAAGCCATTGTAGCGGATCTCGATGTCGGGGCTCGAGTCGATGACCAGGAAGCCCTCCGAGCTGTAGATCTTGGTGGAAAGCCCGGTGACGAAGGGGACGCTCACCTGGCTGCCGTTCACCTGGTTTGGGAAAGGATGCAAAGCTGACATCTCTGCCCTAACTTCTGCCTCCAAAAGCATGCAGAAGTCGCTTGAAAACATCAGTGCTAACCCCTCCCCATGGCCCAGATGGGAGAAAACCACAACTCTGTGGGCAGCCCCTTTGGCCGAGTGGAGGCTGAGCAAAAAGCCAGGYCGTGGGCTCATTCCCCACTGTGCAGGGAGCTGATCTCCCTGAGTGCTCAGTCCTGCTCTGGAAGGGCAGAGGCTCTGGACAAGACCTTACCTTGACAGTGTTCCTGTCGCTGATAAGGATCTGCTCCTCGTTGATGTAGAAATACACGGGGGAGATGATGGTGAGGTTGGGCGAGGACCACTTGTCAAAGTTGATGATGAGCTGGAAGGAGAAGTCGGGCAGCTTCTGGCAGATGGTGGAGAGGACGAAGGCGCAGTTGGCCGGGAAGCGGAGGAAGGCCCCGTCGAAGGTGCGGAAGACGCCGCCGCCCGCGGCCAGGCAGAAGGAGCTCCGCGTGCTGAAGCAGCCGCGGACGCCGTTGCGCAGGGCGCACTCCTCGTCSGACTTGCAGTGCCGCGGGTCGCACTGGATGAGGTTGCGCCGGAAGCAGCGGCAGCGGCGCGTGCAGTCGCTGTTCCAGAACAGCTGCTTGGGCTGGAAGGCAGCGGCAGGGAGACAGCCCGCTCAGGGCCCCATCTGACGGTGCCCGTGCGGTGGGGGACGTCTCACCCATTTCAGGGTGTGCGGGGACCTGAGGGTGTGCGCCGGGCTCCCTTTCTATGCTGTACATCCTCTCCTATGCACTTTGCCTCTGCTCAGCCACATCAAAAGGCAGAGCGGGCAGTGGGGGAGCAGAGATGCGAGCAAAGGACAAGGCAACGGCACGTAAATTTGCCCTTAATCCCTGCTACTCTGCCACAGCGAAGAAACGGCAAGTTTCCAGTCCCACGGGAWCCACCCTCACCTCTGGCATGCACACAAAGGGCAGCATTTTGATTAGCTCCTGGACTACCTCTCTGTGCCCTGCTGGCCAAATCCAGATCAAGTTAGGTCCCCATACTAGAAAACTGGGGTAAGTACACCAAATAATAATAACCTAACTGGTTTCTTTGGCCGGCCAACAAAACAGTGCACATAACATCATCAACAGGAAAATAACGCCCACAGATGTGGTGGCCACCCTTCTCAGCAGCATCCTGTGCAGGGTGTATCTCCCTGGCAGCCCTCGTGAGACGCTCGCAGGTCCAACTAGCCTCCCCGTGACTGGGCCCAGGTGTGTACAGACACACATTTGGCCTTACGTCAAACCGCTTGGGGACTCGAAACCTCTGCTGGGCCTTCAGCTGCCACCTGAGCAGCTTTCACGTGGGCAACACAGCGACCAGCCTCCAGGCTAGCTCTGCTGCACAACGCCTGCTAGTGCCCCCGCTCCCTTGTGCAGGCTGCCTCACAGCGCTTGGTTCGGGGCAAACATTGCAGACCCCTGGGGTACTCTCTAYCCCTGGCACAGAGCCAGCACACTGGCCGAGTTCCCTGCTCAGGCTGCACCATGCCAGCGGGCACAAGGAAGGGACGGGGCTGACGCACCTCGTAGTATTTGCCGTCCGAGTAGCAGCCGCAGTTGTGGGGAAGGATGCAGCTCTTGCCGTTGAGGACGTAGCCCGGGTCGCACTGGCAGCCCTCCACGCAGTAATGGCTGCAGTCGCTTTTCAGACGGATGGCGGCGCATCGGGGCTGGCACAGGGACACGCAGCTCTCGTAGTGGCTGTTGGGGGGACAGCTGACGGCTGCGAGGCAAGGAGGGGAGACAGCGGGAAGACATGGATTAGCTCAGCAGACAGAAACAACCTCCCTAAGTGGCTTGGCAGCCACTGGCATGTTTCATTTCTTGCTGCCAGGCATCAGTTTGGATTGTTATCTTTGCCAAGATATGAGAAAGGCTYACAGGGTGGTTCCAGCCCCCCAGGTGCACATGCGTGCACCTCCCCAGAGCCCTGTGCACCTCCCGCAGCCTTTCAGGCTCCGACACGTCAGCGTTCGGACCCCATCCTTTGGCAGTGCTGAACCCACAGACCTGGCTCTGCCTCAGGGTTTTGCCCCTAAACAGAGAGCCCAGGAGACATGTCTAGGGAAGATGGGCGAGAAGGCAGCCCAGAAGTGCTTACAGCATGAGGTGAAGTTCCTCCAGCCAGTGATGGCAATTCCCTGGGTCTGGCACGTGCTGGCATAGTTCTGCAGCCAGCTGCAGGCCGTTTGCATGGCTCCGCCGTCGATGCACGTGTCGAAGAGGCAGTTCTTGTAGAAGAAGCCGGGGTTGATCTTGCTGTGGCACTTTGCGAAGACGCCGCTTTGGCTGGGGATGAGGCTGCATAGCTGCTGGGGTTTCCAGAAGCCTTCCACCTTCCCGCACGCGGGGCAGCGGTCGCCGCAGCCCACCTGGCAGAACGTGTCCCGCCGGACCCAGCTCTGGCCAAAGTCGGTGACGCCGGCCGCGGCCAGGCCGCTGGAGGCCACCAGGTCGTCCTCGGGGTTGCCGTTGTAGCGGCCGCAGAGCCCGTAGGTCAGGTTCTGGAAGCTGCGCGGCACCGTAACGGAGAGGAAGGTCTTCCAGTCGTACACCACCTTCAGCCCAAAGTCTGTCTCGACCACAATGTGGAAGCCGAAGGCAAAGATGTTCACCTTGCCCTGGCCCAGCTTCAGAGGCAGGTAGAGACGCTCGTTGTTGACCTGTGGGGAGGAAAACGCAGTGCCCGGTGAGCAGAGGCCATCAGCGCGTCCCASGGGACGCGAGCGCAGGCCGTTTGTTGCCGCTGCTGCAGGACAGGCTCTGCCAGCGCCCGACTAGCGGCCACAAGAAAGTCCCCAGTCCTCCTCTGCAAGCTGTGCCCCATGGTACAGCCAAGTGCAGCCCCCACTCCCCTTGCCATGCAGACAGYTCGTAATCCATAAAGACTTGGGGAACAGAAACCCCAAGGACTTTGGGGAGCTGCGGCTGATCCGGGTAAAACCAATGTCGCAGACGGGAATATCCCTCTGCTCCCAAACTGTGTCCGGGCCGCCTTCCCGAGTGAAGGGTGACCCCTCTGCCCCAGCACTCACCAGCACTGTGTATTTGTAGGCACGGTGGATGACTATGTTGTAATTGAAGACCTCCACTTCCACTTGTTTCACCCACAGGGCCAGGGACGGGTCCCGGTCCTCGTTCTTGGCGGTGACAGTGAACGCGGGGAAGGTGTCCGATCTCTCCACCCTCGGCCGGGAGATGGTGGTGCAAAGGACCAAGGTGCAGCTGCTCTGGAAGTCGAAGGAGAAGCCGTCGAAAGTGAGGTAGTGCCCGTAGCCGGAAACGATGCAGGAGGCGTCCGTGCGCACGCGGCAGTAGTAGAGGCCGTGCTCCTCCAGGCAGTACTCGTCGTCCTTGCAGGGCACRCTCTCGCAGTAGACGCTGTTGTCGGAGCCGTTGCAGTAGCAGAGGAAGTGGCAGGAGATGTCCATCCAGAAGCTCTGGTTGGTGGCCAGCTGGCGCCCCTCGAAGCTGCAGCCGCACTCGCTGCGGGGAACGCAGCGCGTGCCCTGCAGGGCGAAGCCGTCGTCGCACTGGCAGCCCTCGGYGCAGGCGTCCGCGCACACGGGGCCCGTGGCCAGCGTCTCGCACGTCTCCGTGCACGTCATGCACTCCTCGAAATGGCTGTTCTCCGGGCACGTGAGAGCTGCGGGGCGAGCACACACAGCGCTGGCGTCAGYGGCCCTGCGGGCCTCGAGGCAGCAGGGGGGCAGGAATGGACAAACGGGGGGCAAGGTGAGGATCGACCCATTTGGGAAGGAGAGCAAGGGGGGAGGCCCGGCCAGCAACCTCCTCACCGATGCCTCCCTAAAATCTCCGTGACCGAGACCCCTCTAGCACCTGCTATCTGCCTCTGCACTGTGTTTTTTTCACATTTGCTTCTGAATTCTCACACCAACGGCAAGTTTACAGCGCTACAAACATGCCTCCTTCAAATTAGCCTCTGCTGATGGCTTGCATTATTGTTAGAAACCATCTGCGGCTCTGTAACGCTCCTACATGGCATCATAAACCTCCTGATATCTCCTGAAACGCCACCATGAAACTACTTAATTGGGAAATCCGTCTCTACAGGCATAGGCATCTCTTAGATAACATCTCTTGCACAGAGAGTGACGCTTTCTTGCCTTCAGGCTCAAAACATTGCACTCTTAAGGTACAGGTCASACTACAGTCCCCTAGATCTTTCAGTGCCACAGCTTCCATCATCATAAAATGAGCGTAAGCAAGTCGCTCCACATGTCTAGTCGTTAGGCACTTCTTTTCCTCCTCATATCTGTGATTTTGGACGCCCACCCCTGCCATAAAGGCAGGATGTCTAGTGAGCTTCTGACATCCCTTTGTCTGCACACTAGAAAGCCCCTGAGGAAAAGATGCCAAGCTCCCCGTGTGCCCSCAGGCCCTCCGAAAGGCTCCCCAAGATGTCCCGGACTCACGGCAGAAGCTGTAGCTCCTCCACTGGCCGACGTCCACCTCGGCATTCTTGCAGGCGCTGGCGTAGCGTGCGACGGAGTCGCACAGCTCCGACTGGTTGCCTCCGCTCTGGCACAGGCGGAAGAGGCACGTCCTGTAGTAGGCCGAGACGTTGACCACGCCGTGGCACTCCAGGAAGGAGCTGTTGGTGGGGTCGTTGATGATGCCGCATTTGGAGCGGCTCCTGTAGTGCTTGAGCAGCTCCGAGTCATTGCCGCAGGCCTTGAGGAGGTCGCCGCACTCGCCGTTGCAGATCTCGTCGAACGTGGTCCAGCTCTCCAGGAAGAGCTCCAGGTTGTCCGTGCACTTGCCTTTGGGGGGGCAGAACTCGTCGCTGCTGTTGCCGTTGAAGAAGCCGCAGAGGCCTCCGGTGCAGTTAAAGTAGGCGGTGGAGAGGCGCATCTCCAGGAGGCCCGAGTCGTAGTACTGGATGCTCAGGAGTCCCTCCGACTCCACCACGGTGCCGTTTCTGCTACGGTAGATTTCCAGGCGGCCAGAAGGGTGGGAATAGGGCAGCTCCACGTCGTAGCCATTCACCTGCAAAAAAATAAAAAGCATTTTGAGCTGAAAGCACCAGTGCTTGGAGCTGTATTGCGCGGCTGAAACTTTGAGCAACCTAGTAGGCCTGGGAATCAAAGAYCACAAAACTATTCYGTTAGGGATGTTCCTTCTTTGCCCCAGCCATTTTGCTGACTACAACAGCAGCAAAACCACTGGCTCTGCTGGCAGCTGCACTTTTAATTAAAATCACAGGGTTTGCAGTATACACCTTGTAGATTTATTTCTGCATGCCCCCAGCCCTGGCAGTTGCTCAGAGCAGACAGTGTCTGCAGGCAGACACTGTTGCCAGCCTCACCATCCCCATGCCTGAACAAATACTTGTTAAAATCCAGCCCTTTCCCACATAGGGGTGTCAGGATTTGCTGCTCTGCAGCACTGTCCACACTGATGTGGCATGGAACAGACGGGATCTTCAGAGACCAWGCGCAGCGCTTAGCCGGGAGCCCGAGATACAGCATCCAGGGAGGAGGAAGCTCCAATGGGGAAGAAGCTTCCCCAGAGAGGACACCGCGACACGGCATGAGCTCATTCCCCCCTCATACCTTGATTTCTGCAGGGCTGGTGCCTCCGATCTTCACCTCCTGGCTGACGGCCTGGATTCTCAGGGCGCGCGGCCCGTCGGGAGCAGAGCCCGGCTTCTTCTGGCTGATGTCCACTTCGATGAAGTCCAGCCTCTCCGGGCATGTCTTCAGCAGCGTGTAGGAGTGCTCCAGCGGGTAGGGGAACGTCACGCCGTCAAACGTCTGCAGCACCTGGTTCTGCCCCACGAGACACACAGTCTCCCGCTTGGGATAGCAGCCCTGGTAGCCRTCCTCGACAGTGCAGACCTCTCCCTCCTGGCAGGTGGTGTTGAAGCAGCTGGCCTCGCCGCCGGCCTCGCAGCGGCACTGCACCGAGCAGTCGGCGGCGGCCCAGAAGGACTCGCCCAGCGCGTAGTAGCGGCCGSCGACGTCGCAGCCGCACTCGCGCACGGGCACGCAGCGCTCCGCGCTCAGCACGTGGCCCTCGTCGCACTCGCAGCCCTCGGTGCAGGGCGAGCCGCAGGACAGCGGCGCCGTGAGGTCCGAGCACGAGGCCGGGCAGCTGCTGGTGCACACCGAGTAGTGGCTGAACTCCGGGCACTGCACGGCCGCCGCTGACAGAGGGGACAGAAACGACACACGGACAAAATGACTGYGCAGTTCAGGGCCAGCTACCCCTGCCCCACCGGTCTACGTGATCAGCACTGCAAAGCGACCCTGCACACCCACTTTCCTAAAGATTTGCATCTCTCTCCTGCTCTCCCTCGTGCATCTCCCCAAAGGCTCCTCTAGAGCACCCTGTCGCACTGAGCCAGCACAGTGATTTAGCCCCAGGAGCACAAGGACAGCCTGTGGCTTATGGGCTGAAGCCGCTTCAAAGCCATGGCTGGCGAGTGGTACATTAGCCAGGTCCCCTCTCTCCCGCCTCTGCGGTCTCTACAGTGGCCAAGTGCCCCTGGAGCCAAGTGGAGCTCCCTTCTCCATGTATGACTCTCGCTGCCCTTCCCTGTCCGTGAGCGCCTCACACTGCAGACAGGAGGCACTGACTGGTTCCTTCTTCCCCTCCTCATCTCACACCCTGCTCCTGCTCCGCCAGGAGCTTCCAGCAGGCCCTGCTCCCGATGGGAAGGCTTCCAGCAGCTCACGCAGCGCCTTACCGCATCCCGTCGCGGCGCGCCAGTCTCCCACCGGGATGCCCAGGGCCTGGCACACCAGGGCGTACGCCTGGATGGCCTGGCACAGGCCGCTGCCGTTGCCGTGCGAGCCGCACAGGTCGTAGACGCAGCTGTGCACGAAGGCGGTGGGGTCCACGACGGCGCCGCACTCCCACAGGGGCCCGCTGCTCTTGTTGATGAAGCCGCAGTACTCGGCGGTGAAATAGAGCGCCTCGAGGGCCGCGTCGCAGAGGCTGCAGTTATCCAAGCAGCCCGGGGAGCACCTCCGATCGGGGTGGTACACGCGCCAGCTCTCGCCCAGGTCCAGCACGGATGCCGCTAATCGCCCGTCGGAGCGAAGGGTGTCGTCCTCGGGGTCCTTGTTGTAATTCCCGCAGAGGCCACACGTGGCATTGATGTACGTGCCCGGGACAGAGATGGAGGCATAGTGCTGTCCGTCATAGGTCACTAACAGGCCAAAATCAGTCTCCAAGGCTGTAGACAGGCCGCTCTGGTAGACTTTGATTGCACCTAGTTCCAAGGAGACGGGTAAGGACGTCACCAAGCCATCGACCTGTGGGAAGAAGGCAAGAAGACTGAAGCACCATGTGAGACAGCAGAGACCTCGCGCTATGACACGGACAGGAGCTGCACCCAGAGGGTGGCCTTAGGGCTGTCCTCGGGAGGCAGCGTGGCCAGCGCCGTGGCTCGGCCACAGCTAGGGCAGCTTGCGCCCCAGAGGAGCAGTCCTGAGCCCTTTTCTCTTTTGGCAGGGCTCTTACCTTCACTTTCCCAAAGCTGCCCTTGGGGAGGAYGATCTTGTGTGAATAAGTTTCCACAAAGATATCCTTCAGCCAGGAGACGGAGGAGCCGCCTCGGTTCTCATTCTTGGCCTCCACGTTGAAGTAGGGCAGCTTGGACCCTGGCCAGCACTGCCTGGCAAGGAGGTAGGAGCAGGAACCCTGGAAGTGAAAGAGGAAGCCGTCGAACGTGTGGTAGTGGGGATCTCCGAACACCACGCAGGTGCTGCTCTCCACGGGCACGCACTGGAAGAACTTGATCTTCGGCTCACACGCTTCAAGGGGGCTGCAAGCCATCTCCTGGCACAAGATCTCATTGTTGAAGTCCAGRCAGCGGCACTTGGTGCTGCAGTTTGAGTTCTCCCAGAAGATCTCTCCTTGACGGAGAAATTGCCCTGAAAAGAGAAAGTAAAAAAAAAAAAAATCCATTACTTTTCTGACCAGAGGACCTGACACTGAGCTTAGAGGACACTCAAACTGAGCCACATCATCTCCCAGAGAGGTGGGCCAGCCTTACAGTCAAGGCCACCAACTAAGCATCTTCCTTCAGTGCTTAGCACAAGTTCACTTTACACAGGCTCCCAGCAGGAGCCATTTAGCAAAATGCTACAATCACAGGCTTAGTTTTAGGCACACACTCAGTGCCATTCGAGTCAAATTGCGTCCTCCCTGTGCTGGAAGTTCAGCAGATATTTCGAGTGCTTTCATGAATCACAGCTTGTGCAGCACCATGCAGGTTAGGAAACTGCTAGGCTACTCCTTTCATTTTTGACCCATGCTACCTGGTTCCAGGTGGTTTCTGCAGCAAATAAGAGCTCTTCATGTTTTTTTGTCAAAGGGGAACTGGACTGCAAGCACGTGCGCTTCAGAGGCCATTTCCACCTCTGCCGTTGTAATTACACTGYCCTACAACTTTGTTGCTCTAACTGGAATAACTCATCACATAACTTTGCAGGTCACAGATCAGTCCTGCTGTAAACAGCCTGGAGCCAATTTGTTTCCATTCTAAAGATGTTCGCATTAACTCTGAAACTAAAGAGCTGTTGATAAGTAACTGTCAACACCAGAGATAAGAAAACATGTCATACACCAGAGATGACAAAAAAAAAAAAAAAAAAAAAAACAGCAAGAGGATGAGCTAGCTGTAATTGCAACAGGAGTCTTGGGTTTCTCTAGCCAGAGACATGAGAGGCAGAGAGAAGCCCACAGACCTAAGGGTGACAAGTGCCCACGAGCGATTCCCTTCCCTCCAGATGCTTGCTTTTCACACCCTTSCTTCACACGGATTTCACTTCGCATGCTGCATGCTCTACCTCGCCTGCCTTTTCTGGTCCCCCTGCCCAAGGGAGCTACTTTGTGCCATATCTCCTCTTAGGGAGAGCTGCTCGCAGCGGCTGCCACATCAGTGTCCGAGCTGGGGCCATTTGGGCAATCAAGCGGTGTCCTCGCCTCACGCTGCATCCCCTCTTGTGGTGGGGACAAGCTGTGACAAACCTGACYGTGAGGGAGCCACGTGCCTCAGAGCGGTGGCACCTCGGTCCCCAGCAGCAAGTGACAATTCGCTCTCGTTAGAAATGCTCCCAGAGCAAAGCAGACCCTCCGCACAGCTGTGCCTGACACCTGGTAATGCAATAACCTCCAYGCAGCAAAGCCCCTTCGCTACCACTGCGTGCACTTAACCTCCTTACAGCTCTGCACTGTTGGTGACACATGCCCAGTCACCGTAATTGGGGCAGAGGCACTGGATTTATCTGGCATCCACTTGGAGAAGCTGCAGTTCCTGCTGCTTTGGAGAGGGGAAATGCAGCTAGCATTTGTGGCTCTGGGAAGCTGGGGGKGACCTCGCTTGGCACATGCAGCAAACCAGAGACACAGACAGGACCTAAATCCTGGTCACACAATTTGGTCCCCCTGMTTGCACCTAAAAGGGAGCTTGTAACCCTGGATTTCCTTGGCATACAAGGAAMTACAAATCGAGCAGCAGCCCAGAACAGTCACACATATCACTACTAAACTCCACAGTCATGTTACATTTTGCTCCTCTGCACTACAAAATTTTTAAAGAGCCTAAGACATTTCTCTGTTACCTCTTAGGCTGCAGCCATGAGCCGGGTCTATTTCTCTGCCATCTATTTTGAAAGCCCAGCGTCCAGGGACATTAACGTTGGTTGTGTCTTCAATATTAACTATGTCTGGGGTTCTGGAGCCTGGGAGGCTGAAAAAATTGGTGATATTTCCTCCATTGAATCCAGCCTAGAAGAGACAGAGATCAAATTATCACTCAGCCTTGCTAGAGGAACACAACACTGCATTTCTGTTCTCCCCTCCCATCCAGCCCCAAAATAATCACTGAGCAGGGGAAAAGAGCGTTTTCAGGAATTTCTTTTTGGCCCTCATTAAGCAAGATGCACTAGACGGTTGCCAGAGATCTGTGATTCTGCAGAGGCCTCACCTGGGCCATCACACCACCAAGCCCTGTGAGAGGATCCCCTCCGCTGGCTGTCCCTGTAGTCCAGCTGATTTCATGGTAGTTAAATATGGCAAAGGAAGACACGCCATCTGTGATGAGGACAGCCTGGAAAGTGTTCACCTGTTGAGAACACAAAGAGATTCACCAGATGAGACTGCTTGTCCGGGTAGTTTGTCTGCCCTTCTTCCACATCCCTCGTTTGCCTGGCCAGGAGGCGGGAGCCTTGCAGCCGAAATACGCTCTCCCTCCTGATGTGCCTCCAGCTGCTCTCATCCACACCATGCCCTCCATCTGGGAAGGGACAAGGACATTCCTCATCCAATTTAACACCGATAGATGGCAGCATGAGAATAAGCTCACGGGATGAAGGATTTGGACTGCTACAACCTGTTATCTTCCTGTTACCCAATCTTGGCTTTTCTCATCACCAAGTTATCTCACCGGGTTCCCCTCCGTGCTCATATTCCACAGCACTGTTAAGGGCAGCACACATCAAAGTCTATCATGCCTTATACCTAAGGAAATGCTGCTGTGCTTAGCTACCGGACCCTATAGCGACCTGCCAAATCTGCTGGTCACATTCTTCTTTTCACTTGAAATGACTCTGCATTTCCAGCCACAAATATTTCACATAAATCCACTCAACTGTGAACTCATGTCTCAGGCAAAAAAGGATGTGCTTTGCCAGAAGGCAACACAAAATTAAACTCTTCACTTCCACCATTGTACAGAAAGGCGAAAGACTTCATCCCCGTAATTCACAAAATTGCTATTCAAAATAGAGCTAAAGAATTGTCTGCAGCTTTTCTGCATTGCGAAGAATTTCCTCCTTAAGTTGCATCGTGCTATTCCGCGTGCCAAACAGGCACCTTGGTGGCTACTGAATGGGAAGGCTGCACTATAACAAAATAAATTGCATTGTGTTGCAAATGCAATTCTTCAGGCAACACACGAATCTCTGTATTGCAGACTCGCTGTCTGCAAATATATATGTATTTTTTTCAGTGAGCACTGCCAGAACTGGAAAAAAATATGCATTAAATCTCAAGCCTCTCTAACAAATGGAAAAGAGCAGCACTGTTTATCAGAGTCAGCTCCTCAAGACAGAAACCGCCAGCTCTTGGCACTCACAATTTGCACACTGATCCTGAAAAACCCATTTCCCAATGCTGCAAGGAGAAAGTAACAGCTAAGCTTTGATTCAAAGCTTGGAAGTTGAGCTACGGGTGCAAAAATCAGACCTGTATCGCATCCTGGTTAGTCTCGAGCAACAGACTCACCCCAACAGACTCGCCCAGGCATTACTGCCACAATAAGTTGCTTTTAAACTGAATCACGCTCCAGAAAGTGACTGGAGATTAGTGGTGTGAACTTTGAGTGATTCACGCCACGACAGGGAGGATCAATCTCCCCATTCCCATGTATAGAGAAGCCCCTGAGCTAATGTTCCATTAATAAAACTTGGCTCTTCCAAGGTCCCTGTAGCCCTGTGCAAAAAATAGCTCTGTTTTATCAATGCAGAAACAGAGGCAAAGCAAAGGTCATGTAGCAAGGCAGAAATTATCCAGTATGATGGAGCCAAAACTCCTAACCAGTATCAGAGCCTGCTTTTGACGTGCAGCATACTAAAGCCAAAGAGAGGATGCCTCTCCTCAGGATCCTGCAGCACACAGCAAGGCTCTTAGGAGCTACACGGGAGCAGACTGGTACATGGAGCTCATCTGCCAGAAAGGCAACTGAGGAGCGGGCGGATGAAATGACTCGCTCAGGCCTCAACACAACCCATAGTAGAGGCAGGAAGCAAAATCTATGTTTCTGGCTCCTGACTCATTAATCTCCTGGTCATTTGTGGGCTCCTCTTTCACTAAATACATTTGTAGACACGGACTTTGACATGGAACATCATCAGTCAAGAAGCACAACCCTTTGCTCTTACCGGAGTCGTGCTGCTCCCCCCGTAGAAAGTGACTTCCTCCCAGGTGGCAATGAAGATCCAGGTGGCAGAGAAGGAGGACATGTCTTTGAAGTACTTGCGGACGTCTTTGGAGGCTCTCCTGAGCAGCTCGGGGTCCGTGCTCTCCCGGTAGTAGATCTCTCCTCGGATGCCATTGTGCACATCTGCCCAAAACGGGGCGAGGAAGGCCCGGCCGTCCGAGAGGGGGAAGGCCTCTGGGGTAAACTGGCTCACTAGCACATTGAAGGAGATGACGCCGTTGTTGTTGACCTGCAGGGAGAAGGCAGTTCGGTTTGAGCAAGGCCTAGCAGCAGCCCCATGGCTGCCAGATGGGCAGAACATGCAGGGTGCGCAACTCCTGACAGAGCTTGGCTCTAATAACGACAGTCTGCGAGAAGGCAAGACCGTCTAGGGCAGAGATTCAGCTACTGCATCCTCGCCTCTCTTCCCACAGCCGGGCTTGCAGGTTTATGGGCTGCTTCCAGCTGCTTTTACACACAGAGATAGCACCCACAAAACACAGACACGCTCGGGATCAGGACTTGGTCCTGCTGATGTCTAATGCACTGTTTTTATGTGCTAAACCTTCTTTAGTACAGCCTGGGAGGGATGGCTTTCCCCTCACCAAGCTTTTGCTGTGAGCTTGTTTAAAAACAGCAGTCTCCACAATTTTGGGGCATGCAAATGAAAGTCCAAACGACTGCTCTTTTTTTCTTGAGGGTCTTTGCAGGTTCTTGTTTCTTGTCATCTAACAGGAATAATGTTCCTTGTGTCAAGGCCCTAGCTTTGCTGCACCATTTAATCACCTACAAAGACAATTTATTGCCTTTTATATTCCTTCCCCACGAACATTAGCCCATTAAATATACCTTTGACTTTCTTAATCATAAAACCTATCAGTTCATGAAATCTAAGAACTTGTCAGGTAGGTACTAATAAATCTTCCAACTCTTGACGACAGGGAAAGCGTGTTTAAAAGGCAGCTGCTAATGGCAAGGAAAACAATAAAAGGAAAGTCTGCAGCAAAGCTGCTTCTCCACTTACATAAATGGTTCTGTACGATGATCCAAAGAAGATGAACGGGACAGAGAGCTTAATCTCAGGAGAGCTTCCATCATCAACTTTGGGCGTTTTCGTGTCGTTCTGCCAGAACGGGTACAGATTCGCCATGGCGTGAGCTGAAGGGAGAGGCACAGTCCTTAGGGCAAAGCCAGCACTGGTCCTGACTTGGGATACAGCCCAGTCCGGCCCCTGGGGGGCCAGTCCCAAAGCCCTGACCTCCAGCCTTGCACCTGCACAGCAGGGAGACCAGCTCTGTTGTGCCCTGGGTACGAGCCTGCCCTGCCCATCCACCCGGGACACCCATTCCTGGGCTACAGCTTAAGGTATTGTGACCATTRCAACATTTCCCGACAAAACTTGGTTTTCTGCTAAAAGGTACTGACAACAAATAAAAATATTTTAGGAGAAGGTTTTGCTGTGTCTCGATAGAAGCCTGTGGTTTGCTGGAGGGCTGCAAGGCACAGGCTCATGTCCCCGGGACAGGCCCCTTCAAGGGCGGGCCGTGCCAGATCCCTGTCCCCTGCCTCCCCATCGCTCTGGCTTCCTACCCGTGCGACAGCTCCCCAGGGAAGCGGGGACTTGGCTGTGCTCTCCCCCCTCCTCTCCTCTTTGATGTAGAGCAGAAACGTATTGTCCCCGCGATACTCAGCTGAAGGTGACGTGAGCAACAGGGCTCAGAACAATCCGGGCTCTGTTTAGCTCAATTCAGGACCTGCTTTTATTTTCCAGGTCCTAACCTGCGGCTTGCAGAGGCCTCTCACTGAAGAGAACTTGCTCCAAGTGCAGCTTTACAAGAGGCAAAAAGGTGTCTTGCAGCTCCCTGCTCTGGGGACTGTCCCCTGCTGGAAGCAGGGGCTTAGACATAGGTCTAACTGGGGCTTAGATGAGACATAGGTCTAATTCCTTTTCCAGATGTGGAGCTCAGGAACTTCTTAAGCGTTAGCTTCTTAAGCGTTACTAGTATGATGCAGCTGTAACCTTGCATGCATCACTCCAGCAGCTCGCCAGCCCCTGCCCACAAGGAATTTTAACCACTGGTGGCATTTCTCACAGGGGAACGGCCAGCCTCATTTTACAAAGAAAAGAAACAGTCACAGTTTCTAGAAGAGCTGTCCTCAGTAGCTGGCCACAGATTTAAGATCTCCGAGCTCCCAAGCTCTCGGCTCCCTGAGACCTATTTTATAGCAGCAAGCATCAAGACAACCACAACCTCTTGCATTGCCTCGTGTGCCCATATACATGCTTGCAGGTGTAAATGCTCACAGAGCTCAACAACTTATGCAGCCCCTGTGTCCTGCCAGCGTTTTCAGCTCCACCAAGCAGCCCGCCAGCTCCTCATTTAATGTAAACTATCGCTGCTTCATCGCTTCCAATGAAGCGAGGCCCATTTGCGCAGGCTGGCGATCCGTCTCCCGCGACGTGGTCTATCAGTCTCCCAGACTGACACCTGTGCTTGCCCATAACGTCACACAAATTCCCATGCTTTGTATTCACCCTTAAAAGCAGCAGGCCTTCCAACCCCGAAGGAAAAGCTGGACTCGCCCCGGCGTTGTGCTTGCTCCCATGCGGGGGACGAGTGGATTTGTCCAGGCCCGTGGTACCCGTGCGGTGCCTGGGCGCTGCACTGCCCCAGAGCGTCCCGTCACAGAGGACGAGCAGCGGTACCGCACGCCGAGGCCGGAGACACTAACCTTCGTGCCGGGCAATCAGCACCGAGAGGGCCACCCAGGTCCGAAGCAACAACCGGTCGTTCATCCTGGAGGGAAGACACAGCCCGGACACACATCACGTCGGCAGGACAGCACATCCTCCAGCAAACCCCAGGTGGCACCTACAGCAACCACGTCCTAACGCAGCCTGAAGTCTGTGTGGACACTTAGGAGACGGAGAGCCCTCACCCACAAAACAGGCCTGAAATGCTGACTCCATTAAGTGGCATAAAGAGAGYGCTCTGGTGATAAAAATACCCTGCCCTGCAGGTATGGTCAAAGCAAGCCCCTTCCACAACAGAAGAGGGACTAACTTCACGCCGAGCGCGGCTTGTGCTAACAGCCCTTTTCTCAGTAGGTCTTCAGTTCTCCTAATAGTTCACAACAAATCCCTGCATGATCTGCTCAGCACGGGGGTCCTTCTGCCCGACTTCAAGACAAACAGCTTTGCCTTGCACCAAAAGTGAAGCTGTTTCTAAGTTACTTACATCACTACGAACTTCAAATGTTGCTTTAACTAATCCTTTGCACAGGTGGGTAATTCAACCAGCGCTTAACATTTGTGACTCGTGTGAAAAGAGCACAAACATTTATGCAGCTGTGCAATTTCCTCGCTGTACAGAAGTCAATGAYATAGAGAGAAGCAAAAATGAGGCTAGGTACATGAAGGAGAAAACCTGCACTCATTCCAATTCCTTTCACGTCTGACACAATTTGTTACTCATTATTAATCAAATAGGAAATATTGCTAAAATACCTGCTTTGATTTCCTCGCTCCCGTTCATTTCACAGGGGCATGGCTCATGCAGAGCTAATAGGAAGCTATCATGCCCTCCTTGTGTGCATGCACATGAATAAAAATTGCAGGATCAGCGTTGGACACCAATTATATCTACACGTTACCTATAGCCTTCCTTTCCATTTCTGCCTCCATATCAAATAATCTTTACATGTAACACACATTTCAGCTGTGGGGGCACAACTGCCACGAAATACTGCATCTCTTTATGCTCTCTGGATCTCTTTCTATATAGGAACAGTGACAGATCCAACTACTTTAAATATACACATGTGTATAAGCAAGGCATATAACACAGCATATAAYATAATTAGGTGAGGAACATTATGTCCCCTGTGCCCTATCACTTACGCTCAAGTCCGATTAACGGGAGCTTGGAAAGCACAAAGCAGGGTGACAGGCACCTTRCACACTGGTCAGTGCTTTGCCGTGCGCCAGTCACAATTACGCTGGCAAAATTAGCTTTCAGCTAATTTGCTCCGGGCTCAGAAAAAGTCATTTCACCCTGCAAGAACTTCACTACATCCCTTATCCTGAAAAGATGAAAACATGGCAACAGACTTTTATACAGATTATAAACCCAAGTCCCTGCAGCTTCATTAGTGGAGAGCAGGCACAGGATGGCTAGAAGAGAAAACAGTGGTTCGAGAATGAGAGCAAGAAAGGGACTGCTCAGGAAACATGACAGCAAACAGCGAACATGTTATTTAGGTATCACACTCCAAAATACATTTTTGCCAGTATGGAGGGAAAAAAAATTACCAACCTGTTTCGTAGATTAGAGAAGAAATTAAGTCTGAAATTTTAAACCAAGSGTGGTGAAAATTATGTCAATGGAGAATGCATTTCCATGCTCTTYTGCCAATTACTGCTGATGACCAAAGCGATGTCTYGGTCCCCTTGCTCTTGCAATTGAAAAGTCCGTTTTCTTGAGGCTTGCCTTAGGGCTGCAGGAGTGTTGAGTTGCAATCACAACTTTTGCCTCTATTGATAACTAGCAGGTCAATCTAAAGATCAGATTCTGGCRTGGAGAGATAGAGAAGCTTCTTTCTTCCCCAAACGCTCACCCTTCAGGTAGATTTGGATGGAAATGTCGGCTAGTCGGAGCTGGGTTTGAGGCTGTTCTGCTCAGAATCACTTTTCACTGAAGGGAAAAAAAAAACTCAGAAGAATTGAGCCCCTTCCTCCTTTGTGTAGGCAAGGAAAAAAAAGCATCAATATAGTGTTACAGAATTAGCATTAAACAGTGCTGGGCTTAAAGCACAGTGCAAAGCCAGTGCCACGAAACTTCAGTGAACTTAAATTTCCACCAAAATCTTGTTTTAGTTGCTGAAAATCAACTTACCTTCTGTTTTTAGCAGCACAACAAGAAAAACTTTTTCACTAGAGCACCTTCTCCGCACATCTTCTGGAGAGGGTTTCACGCCTGTTGCAGTTCCCAGCCTCTGAGAGGACTGCCGTGCATTTTTAGCCAAGCTTGCAGGGAACTTTAAGCGGTGACTCCCTCGAATATTAGAGCCTGCGCCCGCACGTGCGGCCTGCAGTTTGGAGCGGGGAGAACTCTACCTCCGTCACCGCGAGGCGGCGGCAGGACCCGGACACCGGGCAGCTGGAGGGACAGCACGCAGGCTCAGGGGACACTGCAGCGAGCAGTACGGCCCTGCAGATATTAGTGCAGCTACAAACAGGGCCATGCGCACACGACTCCCTGTCTGCAGCACCGAGCACGGACACCCCGGGCCCTCGTGGCAYGTGGAGCTGAACATTACGTTTGAAGAGGCTTCACCGGCCTCTTGGGAAAACTTTGTCTTCCAAGCTGCCTTCTTTTGGCAGGGGATGCTCCCACCCCACAGTGCTGGAACAGAGCAAACCAATGTGGTTTCTCGAGCACCATGATTCCTTACGTGTCAGATTGAGGAAAAACAAGCGCTGAGAGACAAGACAAGGTGCTTTAACTCTCCCAGAGGTGTGCATGAACGTGGGGGTGAGGAGGAGGGAAACAAAACTCTGGAATCTTTTTTTTTTTTTGCAAAATTTAAATAAGTTTATTGAACTGATCCAAACCGATTACCTAATTGGCCTGAATTCTACCGCTGTGTCTGCAAGCAAACCAAAGGCAAATTGCGGGAAGCGTATTCCCCATGAGAGAAACCAGAATAAAAAAGAGATGGACTTACAATTTTTCCTTTTTCTTTAAAATTACATACGGATGCATAATTAATAGAGTGCAAGAATAGAAAGAACTTCATGTTTAAATTATATTTGAAGTTTCCAGTAACCAAGGAAAAGCAGCCACGGAGACGGAGGCCCGAACGGCAGAGCCCCAGCCCTGCTGCATCGGAGCAGGCCTCTCCTGCTCCTGCACATCGCTTGCATTTCCAACCTGTACATGCACAGAACCGAATCTCATTTACAAGCAAAACTGGCAACTGACAGAGGCCGAGCCGGCGCCTGGTTGCATTTTTAGGGCTGCAGACCAGAGGAGGCGAGGGTGAAGCGAGAGGCAAGGGGCAGGACCGAGCACAGCTCCGCCAGGGTGTCCCAGGCTGCACCATCTACCAGCAGGACGCACACATGCAACTCCCAGGAAAGCACGTGCAAGCACCCAAGGGAGCAAGCACTCTCCTGCCGTACCCTGCCACACTGTACATATTCCTAGCAGGGCCGGTTAGCAATCCGGCTGCTCCATCTGGTTGAAACGTGGATATTCAACAGGAAYGCACCCGAACACAGAGCGGCGCGGCATCGGATCGTGCCACGCAGAGGCGGGCGATGCTTTGGTATACAGCTGTCACCTAATTCCTTGTGAACCAGGTGCTTTTTGCACTGCGCAAACTGCCCGCGGCAGACTTTGTGCATGAACTAGCACGAACAAGAGCACGGCTCTTGACAGCAGTCGCGCTCGGAGAGGAGGACACAAAAGCAGGAGAAGCTCGCAAGTCTATTCTGCCTTCTCCGAAGAACACGACAGAGCTAGGGACCTTCTGGCAAAACGAGGATGCAGATGCTTATGGCACGGAAGAGATTTAAACCAAGTTTCCTGCCATCTTGGAGCCCTGCCAGGTTCCCACCACCCATGTTCTGCACAAGCAACCACCTTTTCCGGGGCCCTCTCCCCAGGACTCAGTCCCTTAGAAAGGGGTAACATTGCACAAAAGCCGGACCCTTTCCAAAAGCTCTCAGATGCAAAAAGGGACGCGATGMGGAACATGCTGCCGTGTCTGTGGCACTGCCAAAGGCACACGCCTGGGGCCTGGAACATGTCTTTTCCTCCTCAAAACCACCCGGCATTTAGGGGTTTCACCAGACGCACGCTCTGCTGGCTGCATAGAAAGTGGACGGCTTTACCCCGCTGGCCACAGACACCCTTTCCCTCACAARGAGGCAAGTCCACAACGTTTGTGTCGCGATCTGGCAGACCTGGACAGAGCAGCGGTTCTGGTCTAGATGCTCACGCCAAATCTGCAGCGGCTCTGCAGCGCCTCCAGCCTGGCATGCCCAAAGGTGTCTGCCTTTTCCCTTTTCAATCTCCCACCAGATCTGCTGCAAAGCACCATTACTTACACRGAGCTCACGGCCAGCGTGGTGACACCATCATTCTCTATGCAGACAGGCGGAACTTTCTGCAGGCAAACAAACTTACAAGCACATATTTGGTTCTTCTCTGAAATCCCATTCAATTCTTTAATTGACCTTGTTTATATCCTTCTCGGGAACTGAGACATTTAATTGTGCTGAAAAAGTTGGTCAATAATTACAGCATCCCATTAATACCGGTTACAGTGCCATAAATATACCCACATAGGTAATGACTGCTCTATAGAATTAGATCAGGTATTTCCTTGTACCTGCATCAGTCRCTTACCTGTAACAATCCAGCGACTGATGGATAATGTACTTAAACAGGAGGTCAAGGGGAGAAATAGGCTTCTAATATTAAACAACCATATCTTCATAAAACTTTGTTTTATAACAAAATATCTTATTAAACACAACTTTTCCTACGCGTACGTATGTATATATCATATATAAGTGTTGGCTTTAGAGTTCCACTATAAGGCAGCAAATGCCTTTCACTACCCAAATGGAAAATACATCTTCAGTAAAGCTCTAGCTTATAAAAGCATCATCTTATGTTACACGGCTGCCATCTCCCCATGCTTCTGCATGATGGGTACCAGGGTCCCACAGCCCCGTACTGCGGACTCTCTGTCACAAACAGCAAGTCTTGCTCTGTTTTGTATTGCTCATCTCAGCAACGCCACGAGATGTACATTTTTTGGCAGGGGGATGAGGCACAAATGATTAACTTATCTTATATCCTTCCATTTTCATCACTACCCTGGATGCCGAACCAGCCTCCTCCGAACGGATCCTACATCCTGAACCTGAAGATTACGAGATAATACTTCATACCCTCCCATTCTACCCCACCCCGCAATCTAGGTAAAATATGAAGAGAAACACACAACTCCGAGGATATAAAGGAGCTCAGTGATGGGGACAAAAGCATCACGGGAAAGAAAGTGCAAGTGGGATTGAGAACGCTTCAAAATTAAGGTCAGAAGTTCACGTGTAACTAGAGCCCTCGCTGCCCAGCTTGACAAACTTCTTATGCAGTTGCTTATAACCAAGGAATCTGAAAAGTCTTCAGCTTGTCAGGGTGACAGGGGAGCAGGCAGGACACAGTAAAATGAAACGGCTGTCTGATTTACAAGAGATAGAAAGGAACGAGGGTCTCATAGCACGAGTAAAGGGAATCTGCTCGGATGCAGAAAAGGGGCTAATTCAAGCAGCAGCACACAATGCCTACAAGGTGCATGAGGGGAAAGCTGATATAGAGGGGGAAAAACTGCTTTACAATAAACGTGAGAAGAGTGGCTCATTAACTGACCTTCTATAACCTGATCTGAGCCAGAACTTTCCTAGTTCATACCCTAAGCAGGGACCCCACATTCACGGGCTGGGAAAAGTGCTAAATTTCAGTTCTGGTGCAACAGAAACATACATAAAAACATCAGCTTTAGGCTTACTCTCTCCCAGGAGAGAGACACAGTACACACTGTCTCAATGCTAAGTGCTTACAATGGATCTTTCCAGTGCTGCGGTGATGGTCCGTAGCCAAGGTGGGAACAGAGCTTCAGCACAATCCTGTGCTCTTAGCTTCAACTCCACCTAACRCAAGGCCCATCCATTGCCTTCCAAAATCTCCCTCCTAACTTACATGGGCAAGATACCTTGGCCTCCAGGCTTTCAGTGTTGCAGGACGGACACAGAAATCGAGCCTTTCCATCAACACTCAGAGTGGGACAGCATAGACACAGACTGCAAATTCCAAACGGAAATCTTCCTTCTGAGAGGGTCTCTCTCATTTTCCCACCTGGTTCAGTCTGGCCAACCAGTGGAATTAAGGATGCAGGACGCACCAAATACCTGAGCTCGGATTCAAGCCGATTACTGTCCAACATCCTTCCAGTGAACTCAAGCGCAACAAAAAGTTGAGAGACAGCACCCAGCTAGAAAAGTACTTCAGCTGGCTAAAGCTACAGTCAGATAGCTAGGCAAAAAGGGTGCTCTGTTGTATCAAAAAGAAGAAACCCACAAAAAACAGCTCCCTAACTTATGGGCCCTAGCACTCTTTAGCTTGAACAACTGACCATTCATGCCAAATCACGAGTATACCGGAGCATCGATGAAAACATCAAGGTATTGGACACACTGAAACACATGCACTGAAGTCAAYTGCCACCTCGAGGTCACCTGCACTGGATGGTGGGCATGGTTCTGAGACCAGGGCACACTCTCCGGGCTAAGAAATCACCTGCTATAAACACAACCAAACCTCAACCAACCTGCTGAAATAAAAACCCTGCAAAAACTCCTTAATGCATGTGTGTGGGTGTGTGGGGGGCGTGCACACACGTGTGCACACACAAGGTCAAAAGAGGCTATTTCATTCTGGGCTCCACATAAAGTTTATCTCCATCCCGAATGCCGTAAGAATGCAGTGCTCGTGAGTTGTACTTCATCTCCTCGGGCCCGAAGGGAGCTTCGTGGTCCAGGTAGAAGAGCAACATGTTGCTTGTCGACAGCTGCACGACAGTTTTTAATTGCTTCTTTAATTCTGCCACAGTCTGATCAAGGCGGATCGACATCTCTTCTACCTTATCCTTGAAGTGAACTTCCACTTTCGCGCTGCTCTGTGGCCGGAGATCCACTACTGCCAAAGGTTCCAGCTTCCCATACTTTGTTACCAGCTCGTGATACCTGAAAAGCAGAACAGGTCCAGAGTTGCATCACAGCTCCTCATACAGCCACTGCATTCTTTACAAGGCACCATTTATTTTTAAATGCTACCATTCTGCAGCAGCAATCATCCAAGAATGCTACTAGACTGCAAAGCTTAAATTAATATCCGGATGGAGAATACAGGGGCCAGTTTACAAGACGTASATGCGGAGTCCGAGTGCCCAGAACTATTTGACAAGGACTGACACCAGAACCCAGAGAGTGCTGAGTGATCCCTGTCCTCTGTTTTAGCGAAAGACTCACATATGGCTCTGCTGGAAACATCTGCTGGCTTAACTGACAATTTCCTCAAGGTGAGGAGGAAGGATGAAGCTCCCCTGAGTACAGAATATTGCTGCACTAGAGTTCAAAGGCTGCAGCACCCTCCTCTTGTCAGGCAAGTAGCTCGCACAGAAACGACCAAAGAAAGAACCCATTTGCCAAGGAGTCCCAAAACACKTCTGGGAGTTTTCTTAGTCTATTCTGCTCACACAAGACAATTCTCGTCCACAATTCAGCAGGCTTTTCCCRCACCGAGCAAGGCCTCTTCTGAAAGGACACGAGAATTTTACTGGCGTAGCTCTAGCACGGCTCCCACCCYGGCAGCACATCTCGCCACCACCAGGAATGGCAGCAGCAATGTGGCCCAGCTGGGAAAGTGGTAAAATGTCAGTGCAGAGCASAGTGCAATGGAGCAGGGCAGCTCAAGGGCTGCAGGGAGGAGGCAGCGTTTCAGAGGCGCTCCGTGTGCAGCGCACAGAAAGCTCCTTTTGTTCCCRCCGCGGCTCCGAGCTGAACGCGACCGGTGCCGCCACCGGCCCTCAGGTGCTGACGGCATCTGACAACGCAGCCGGCCCCAGGGACGCTGCTCCAGGCGGCAACGTTTCGGCAGGACAGTGGGGAGCGAGGTGAGGGCCACGGCACACGGGGGTTTCCCTAAGGAGCCTTCTCCGAGGCGCAGTGTCCAAGTACACATGAGCAGTCCTGGGAAGGTGTTAAGCTCACCCAAGGGCAAGCTGTATGCACGTACAGGGTCAGGCAACACCATCTTTCTCAAGGCAAGGAAAGGCAGAAGAGCCTTTGCAGCCCCTCCTCGTGCACTAAGCACAAGCCAGAAGTGTAAACTAGCGGACAGCCCCATCTCAGCAAGGATGAAGGCACTCTGCTCACACGGCTCTGTCACAGCCTGGTGACAGGCGCCAGGAGACCAGCAATCAGCCCTCACAGCCTGACGGACACCGGCTGCCGCAGGCAATGATGCTGGGGAACCCAGCCTGGCCGAAAGTGCCTCTGATGTGCTGCAGACGAACAGCRGCCTCGTTAAAAGCCCACAGCAGCAACGACGTCACCCAGGGAGGCCGCCAGTACTGGACTGTACGCGCAGCGCTGCTCTCTAGCCCACATCACCCGGACACATATTATGCTGTCTGTTTCACTCCTTGTTCTACCCCTTCGAGCTGCAGTCAGTGAAGAGCTACCACACAATCAGGGTGGTTTAACACCAGCCAGCGTGCTGTGTGTTTATCACACACTACGCATCTACAGTCGGGAGGGGGGGCTTGCACTTGTGAGTCTTCCTTGCGCAAACGTGTCTCAGTCCTCCACTTGAGGCAGCACTGCAATGCAGATGCCGTACCCCCAGCCACAACGGGCATTTGCCCTGATTAGATTCTAATTGCAAACCACCTTCTGAGAGACAGCACTGGACCTGGGTGCAAAGCGGAGGAAGTTTCAACAACAAACAAGAAAAAATCACTCTGCAAAGGACATCAAATTTCAGTTCTTATAAGAATATTACGCAATCTGGCCCTCGGCACTAAGAACACCTCTCAGCCCTCTGCAGCCTCACTGGAAAATATTCTGAAGTGGCACACAACCCATCCAGAACAGAATAACCCCCTTTCGGAGCCGCTCAAGTCTCCTGGAAACGCTGCATGGATGAAAGGATTCAGACAAAGAGCCCATTGATTAAGAGGAGGACAGTAACAGTGTCTAAAGGTTACGGGATCAGCAGAGGAGGCAAATCTCTTGTACTGAAACAGSACAGAGAGACAGCGTGTTCATCAACGTACTTCTTTCCAGAGCCCAGCTTTATGATAGGGGTACCCTGAGATATTCAGGTATGCCTGAATACCTGGAAACACAGCTTGGTTGTGCATGGTGCCGCTCTGCATTCCCAGGCTGTGTTGCTATCCCTTCCAATGTTTGTTTCATTTTTTTTTCTGCTGGAAGGGCTTCTAAAATTACAAGCCAAGACTTGTCCCTTGCAAAAGACACAGGGATCACCAGCTGTCTTGTTTTCCTAACTATATTAGTAGCATTCACTTCCAAACTGATTCTGATTAGCAAATACTGCAAGCACTGGACCTCTTGGTATCAACATCACTCTCCATTCCAGCCTTCTGAAGCACTTACTGTATCGGCAGGTCAAATACACAACTCTTTCAAAAAGCCCTTTGAGTTAAGCTGAAGGCAACACCAATGACCAATGAAACACTGACCAGAATCTAATTTCCAGCTCTGTAACCTCTACCAGGCCATACCCTTAACCTTTTCTGCCACAGTTTGTCCCTGAACGCACTCACTTCTCTTACACTCTTCTGTAAAGAAAAGATTATGTTCACTGTTTGAAAAGCATGTGAGGGCAAGTGCACTGTCCTAGTGCAAAACACCTGTAAATGCACTASCTTGATGCTCAGTGATCCATCCTCATTAGGAAGCAGTAAGTAGATGCTGGCTTAGAGAAGATACTGAATGAACAGCATCTGTCAAAGATCATTAGTTTACTAAGATTAACAGATCACTGAGCATAGATTTCTGGCAAAGAAAAACCATCAGATGTCCGATCTGTGAGTTTAAAAGTGAGGGGACAGCTTCCTAACACCACGACATTCCGCACGTCAGGTGGTCAAGAGAACTAGATGTCTCGGCTCAGCACCAGAAAGATCTGTCCTGACTTTGCAGGACTCCCAAACAAAGGTGGATTAYGAACTAGCCACCAGGGAGGCCAGCRAGCAAAGAAGATCATTAACCGAACAGTCATGTTGCAAAATGGCACTAGACGTGGACACTTGAAGGTTGAATGTGACCCAGAAGTGATTCAGCAAGTCACTGGACAACAACTTCTATATGAATGACATGCACTAAAACAGAATGAGGAAGACAAGCCAGGAAGAAGGCAAAAATGTTTTCTAAGGAGCAGCTAGCTCCAATTTGCATGTATGATCCATCAGGGCACCTTTCATTTTGCCTTGCTTCCCTTTCATGCCTGCTCTRCATTTCAGAACAACGAATTCATACCTGAATGGGACTTCCTCCTCTGGGAACTCCATGTAATATCGGATGAAGAATCGTTCGGAGTCCTCTCGCTCCCCATCGGCAACAATGCTTCCATTAAGCTTCACAATAGATGGCAACCTGCTCGTAGACACCGAGAAACACMGTCAGCAAGAACAGAAACGCAGTCAGGGTGTGCTGGCAAGGCAGGCATGGACAAAAGCTACAATCTGCGACTCTGTCATCAGGAGCGTCATGGCAGGTAGTTTAAGCCTCCATTCTCTCTCTTAAGAGGGCAAGTTCCATGCCCAAAGTGTCTCCAAAAGACTTTTAAAAAAGCACTGGCATTTGAGCACACACATGGATTGCATACACACACACATATGAGGCTCAAGAAATTCTCTGAAAAATACAGATTTTAGGCTGAACATTGCCACTTCTTCCTTTCTGTCCCACACAGGAAAAACACCAAAGTCTCATAACAGCCTCTTCCTGTGATTACCCCCTCCCAGCCGTTCATTTTTATTTAATGCTGCCCATGAGCAGTAGAAACAAACCACAGACCTGGCTATTAGCAGCTTCCTGCGCTCCTCAGTGGTGTAGGACTGCAGCAAGGGGATTCCTAGCAATTTGACTTCCTCGAGCTTGGGAAAAGAATTTAGCTTGTCAATGTCTTCCCAGCTGTGCAGACCTGTTCCAGAGAAATGACTTGCTTAAACACACACAGATAAGATATATCAAGGAAGGTCAAACATGGTCAAAGAACATACACGATGGCGCAGGGTCAACTGAAGCTGCTTGAAGAAGTCCACTTATTCCTGTGAAGTGCCACTACAAAGTGGCAAAGCAAAACACACTTAATTCATTTTTAGCCGACTCAAAATCTGGCATGCAGGATAACAGCGCAAGTAGAGGGGGTAAAATACTAAATAAATGTGGAGAATCAAGCCTAGTGATTACAYAGTGATACCAACACCAATTGTCTTTGCTTCCTTTTGCTGTGAATGCAGAAAAGCTTAATGTAATCCTTTTCAGCTCAATGTTCCAGATGCTTAAACTAACAAAGCAAGTTAGAAATCCATTCTGCCAGAAAACCAATCAGCAGGCTCACCTCCTCGGTGCAGAAAACACAGGGAAAAAAAAGTTATCGTTTTAAAGGCGATTAGAGTTCTTGCAGTAAGCCACCACATCAAGGCCTAATTTTCAAAGGACATCAGAGTGAGCATTTTTCACTGACTCCAGAGGAAAAATTCTGGTCAATTGCTGTCACCTACACCGAGAACAAAGAGCATGCAGCTCCCAGGCTCTCACCTGATTTGTGCAAATTGATGGATCGCAAGTTTGGGAACAGCCTTGCTAGCGAATCTTCCGACTCTTCAATGGTTGTTAGGTTGTTGTTAGCCAGAATAAGTGTGTCTAGTGATGGGAACATAATCCCCAGTTTTCGAATTTCAGTCCAGTCTTGAAGATTGTTGTCAGTTATGTGGAGTAATTTGAGAGATTGACAGCAAATTGGAGGACAAGACACTGTTTCATAGTCATTAAGGCACAGGAAGAGCTCCTCCAAGCTGCAGAAGAGAAGAAAGATCATATTATTATCTCAATATTCCTTCTGAAATGGTTGCCACCTTACATAGAGGGACCTGCATCCCTTATCTTATCCTTATCTTATCCTTATCTTATCCTTATCTTATCCTTATCTTATCCTTATCTTATCCTTATCTTATCCTTATCTTATCCTTATCTTATCCTTATCTTATCCTTATCTTATCTTCAAATCACGATCTTATGTGATTTGAAACCTCAATGTGGTGAAAGCCTTTGAACAGTCAAAATGGAGGGTTTCAACTTCACACCCATCCACAAGTCTCTGGCACAGATGAAAAATACCTCTAAACATTCCCCTAACCTCCAAAATACTTCTACTAGTATTAATCATGGAGCAGATTGCTCAGAAAAGCATTCCACGTTTGTGCCCAGCAAGCCACTAACCCAACAACCACAGTTACTTTATTTGCTGTAAAAGTCAATGTTCATCACTTAATTTAGAAGAAATTGGTATACAACACAGACAACTCTCTTTGTCCATATTATTGGTGGTACAAAGAGATATCTGGTATCAAATTGAAGCCACTGAGGATGTTTGGGGAAGCAGAAGGCCACTGCCCAGGTGGACGGTGGCCAAGCCACAGAAAACAACAATTCTCACAAAAAAGCATGATGAAATATTACTTGTCAAGTGGCCAGATCCTCAAATTTACATGTCTTTCAAGAGTCACTACTGCAGGTGTGCAGCATGCCATTCATGTGGCAGTGACTCAGAGGAATGCATGTCACCTCCTGAATTGTCAGGATCATCACCATCTCTCAGCATTACTGTTCAGATGTGAAAGAAGGGCCTTTGGCTTTGCAGAGCCAAACAATTTCAGCTTTAAAGACAACGTGAAATATTCAACTGGCCAGTTTCTAAACTCCCAAAGCACAAATCCCCTTTCCCTCTACGGGTCAAGTTCACTTTGTCACCCCTCTCACTCGTCCCCACCACGGGATTTGACAAGGGAGCCTTGAGCTGCATGCAGTGAGCACCCTTTCCATGCCAAACTCCCCGCGCTTACTCCGGTAACTCCTGCAGGATCGTGTGGACCGTTTCCCAGGACGCTTTGCTGTTGTTGAGCACGAGCTTGCGAACCCCGGCGAAAGACCCAGCGCATCGTCGCTCTAAAACGGACAAACTGAGAGGATTGGAACTCAGGTTTAGAAACTCCAAGTGGGGAACGTTGGACACGATTTTACTGACCTAGGTGGGGAGGAAAAAAAAACAGAGAAAAAAAAAGTGTTTATCAAGTAGTAATCGGACCTCATGCAATCATATCCCATCTCCTAAAAGGGGGCCCTTCAGAATGACCGTGAGACAAGGAAACTACCTGGGGGAGGGGGAAGACCTCTTGATAACTATCTGTAATTCATACTCCAGGAATTCACTGATCTAAATCGATTGGTTAATTGCTCATTCACCCCAACAGTTCATTTAATTACACTTTCAAAGCAGCTTGATAAGAGAAAGCATGTCCCTTAGGAGAGGTCACAAAATCCACCCAAACACCAAGCTTAAGAAGTAGCACGCTAAAGCGGGTAGTATCTTAGAAAACTGCTGTAGCCCTCTTTTAGGAAGGCAACTGCTATGTCCCTTGAGTTTACGGCTGTCACACTGAGCACTTGCTCGGCTTTCTACTGCTCACGCTAGTCAGAGACCACCCTGTTTTGCTCAGGGTAAAAGACAGAGGCCCACTGTACACCTACAGCGAATTCCGTACTGGATTGCATTATTCTGATAACAGCAGCTTTCTCAACGATCAGTTCAAATGTTCAGCCAACTGTGCTTGGGGCTACTTTCTCTTTTGTGTGTACCAAATGTGTACCTGAGGGCAAATCAGCAGACAGTACAGAAGAAGATCAAAAAATAGGAAGGAAAGCCAGATGCAGAGAGTGTGCACCTCTGGAGTGTGGATACACAGTGCATCGTGTGATTGGTAGGTACTGATCTGAATCTCACCTATATGTAGAAAAATACTGGAATAGGTTAATAAATGATCAATTTGTAGGCACCTAAAAGAAGATTAAGTGAGAAGAACAACCAGCCAATATCAATTTGTAAACAACACATCCCATCAATCTGATTTTCCTCCTYGACTGGGTAACTGAATCAGTGAGAAGCAGTAGATATAATGGAACAACAGCTTCTGACCCGACACACTAGTGCTAGTCTCGCAGGCAAACGGGGGGGTTACAGTCGTCATTCCCTCCCACGGAGATGACACCTTGTAGACTAACACAGGCATCGGCAGGACAGGGAGAGACCCTTCCTGCCTCTGAYTTGGCAACATCTGTGCCGGAGTTGGAGCATTTACGCAGATCTGCCTTCTCTAGAAACTCGTGAAAATTTTTAGGTCGTGGATCTTGTTCTTTTTCTAACGTATTTCTAACAATCAATCCTGTCATAAAAGCAGGGCATACACCAGTGAGGAACGATGACACCCGAACGTGTTGTGATTTCTTTAGTGATATTACACTACATTTACCTAGCATACCTCAGCCAAGCTCTTCAAAGCATTTTATAATAGTATTTAGCACTAATTAACGAGGCTTCAAAATGTCCTAGGAGGCAGATGATATTAAACCTGTTCTGCAGGTGCAGAAACTAAAGCAGAGAAAGGAAAAGCACCTTGCCCTGTGTCACAGAATCAGTGGCAGAACTGGAATCAAGTCCCAGGCCTCTGACCTCTTCAGCCTCACTGTTAACAAACTGCACTGCTCATTAACCTCCTGATGTTTGAATGACGGTTCCAGTGCTTTGCATGATAGAAAATACATTTGTCACCTATTGGCCAAGACCATAAGTCACTAGGAAAATGGACTCAAGTGCTCATATGGATCATATTCATCAAGTTTATCGCTCTGCAGTTGTCAAAGTAAATAAACATCAACTTCAAAGATGAAAAAGAACCCACAAAAAAAMCATATATCACCTTAAATGAGCTTAATACCCTTATAACTAGCAAAGCATTCACAGTCACCGTAGCAGCCATCAAAGCTATTCAGAAAGCCTTTTTTACCTCATGCCAATCTTCCAGCTTATTGTCAGAAAGATCTAGCTCAGACACRTGCGCGCAGAAGGCAGCGATTTCGTTCTCATCCCCTGCACAGGTTATGCCGCAGCTGTTCAATACCAGCACGCTTGGAAGGTTGAGGCGATCTGAAAYGGGAAAAAAAGAGCAGCACCAGTCAGCACCGCATTCCTTAGACACGGGAGACGAGCCCTTGGTCTCCACAAGCACAAAGAAAATGAAATCCAGCAAGATAAAAGGATCCAACAGTAATTACCACAATTTACACATATTCAAGAGATATCGGGATGTAAATGTATTTTACAACAAGGGTCCAACATAAACCAGAAAGTCCTCCTGCCTCTAAATGAGCAGCATCAGGGTGCATCAATGCTCATTTCCCACATGCCTGCCTTTCTGCACCCCAGCAAGGACAGGCCACGCACTCCTAGTTTATAGTCCGAGTCGTATCAGCGCCTGCCAGAACTTGGGCTCTTCCCTAAGCATCTGCTCCTGCAGATAGGACATGGGTCTACGTGGACCGTWACTTGTACTGAGTCACATTCCCTTATACTTGTACTTAGCTCATTTTTGGTTAGGAATGGCATAGAAATTATTTAAACATTTATCTCCTAGGCTTTTCCTTTTCAACAAAATAAGATGCTAATGCTGTTATAACCTGTGAAACCTTAGTAGATTGCTCTGCCTTTTATACTTGTGCTAAGTTTTGCTCTAGTCACAGAACCACACAGGTAAACAGTCTTAAAGCTATTTCACAAGCAAGGACTTGGATCACAGTCACGGCCCGATTCGCTAATGCATAACCATGACAATGTAAATAGCTATGGATTTGTAACAGAAAACCATTTCAACACCAGAAGTTCATGTTCAGACAAAGCATGYAATCAATCTTACAGTCTTTCAGACAGAATACAATTCTCTCACCTCTGCTGACTACCAAAATCCACTAAAATTTAACAACAGGCTTCTCCCTAAAATTTAGTCCCTTTTCTCTCTCCTAGTACTTGACAACTGCTTGACTGGAAAGGTATTGTAACAGCAGACAATCATCACAGCAATTTGAGTTTCAAGTTCATTAGCATCGGACTTCTTTAAAAGACAGTGCAGTGCTCTGGAAATTATTCATGAGGTACTTATAAGCTATGTTGAAGTCACATTTTAAGAATTATAAGCAAGGTCTCTCTTCTCAGATAAGTGTGCCTCCCACATAAGATGGAGAAAGAGGGTTGACTGAATATTCCATTAAGGTGGTTTTCTGTTCTTGTTAATGTTGAGCGACAGGCAGTACATTTTATCCTTAACTGAACTCAGGCACTTCCCTTTCCCCTGTCAAACTCAGTTACTGTAAATTCATCCAGCTAACTTCCATGGCTATTTTCCCCTTTGGGGCTGGTTATGATACAAATTGACCTGACGGAATTTTAAACTTTAGCTGCATCTCCAGATAGGCAAAAGGTTACACAAAGAAGCGGCAGTTCTGGTGGGATAAATCTGAATCTCGGAATCATCTGAATAAACAGAGAACCAAGTGCTCACACCAGAGCTTAAGGGAAGACTAAAGGGTGCCAGATTGATCCAGTTTAAAAAGCTAGAAATAGTGACATGGATTTTCCATTAAAGGATGCTGATGGACACACGTGAACAGCACAGCACTTCAGACATACATCTGTCTGAAGCTCCCTCAAGGCAGTACAGTCAGAAGCAGGGGAGAAAGAGGCATTTCTCCATAACGTCAGTATCAGCTTGCTCAGAGATCATTCAGTGTTTTGAGAAGTAAGCTCAAGTAACATAAACCACAAACTGACTTGGGCCACTTGACTCAAAAGAATCCTATTTGGAGATTAAATGACTCCTTGTTTAGCTTCGTAAATGGCCCAGGCCAGCGTACTCTTGACTCCCTGTGAACCTGCAGGCATTCATGTAAGTTGATGGCACTATGCAATACCACTGGCATACAGAGCTATATAAGCTCTGCATCAAATCGGAGTGTTTCTAAGCCACCTTTGCAAAAACACATCTTGTTACCAGTACTAGTAAAATAGTTAGTATCACCAGCCTGAGGAAAATAAACTGCGAGACAGCTGAGTCCTTAAAAACTCAGCTTTGCACATGGCCTTTTTTCATCTTTCTTTCAMCAGGATACTGTTATGCTATCAATAAAGGGGGTAGGGAAACTTATTTGAATTCTACAGCAACCATTTCAGTCACTGGATCAATTTTCCATTTGTGTTACATGCTAGTCTCCTGGCTCCTGCCTCTCCCAACAATTTTTACATTTCATTTTATTTGCAAGCAAAGTTAATTAAATCCTTAATACGTGAAACAGGCAGTCATCTGCATCTGAGAGAAGAAAATAAATGCAAAGTAGGCTTCCCAYAGTTAAGAAGGAAGGTCAGGAGATGAGTCAGAAGGACCAAAATTCAAGTGATACTTGACCCCAGCAATTTGAACCCTCTTCTATAACCCTATATAATTGTGGGCTGCTGCTGGGAGCACTGCTGTCCAACTACCTGGAGCCTGGCAATGATTAGAGTACACTACTTCGAACCAGATACACAACAGAACTGTAAGAAACACACAGTAATACAAGTATGACAGTTCTCTTCAAGGCAATTAAGGGGGATTCATCCTTCAACAAGAGCAATGACAACAGAGGACCTAGTTCCCCACAAAGCCCCAAATAGGTTTGRAAAGACAGAAACCCTACCTTTCATAGGGGAACCTTGGGGCGTTGCTGGAACGTGCACCCCCATACCAGGACCACGACGATACGGGAAGTTCTCGGGGCTGTATTTCTCACAAAGAACTTGCATGAAACTTCTTCCACTGGGCTGGTCCATGCTCCCTTTTTGGACTTCTAATTCATAAAGAAAACATCAGAGGACATAAACARTCAGCTATTAATAGCTATTTTAATAGCTATATTAATAGCTATTATTAGCTATTTCAGTAGCCCTAGAAACACAGAACCAGCTGGGTCATGGGCTTCATTTCTTCTGAATTGCAGATTAGTCTACCAGGTTATATTGCAAATTTAATCTTCAAGTAACACATCACTTGAAAAAAAGAGGGTTTAATACAAACAAGCCCATTTAATCACACCATTGCTGTCCAAGCACAACACCTCCTGACCCCACACACTCCTTCAGAACTGCCCAGCTCCCCCAAACTGCAAGAGAGAACTTATTTGCCCTTACAAGTGGATTGGGATCTGCATACATATTCTCAAAGATATTTGCAGGATTGCACAGAAGGCAGAAAAGGAAGAGTTGTTTAAGAGAAGGAAATTTCTTGGAAGAGTGTTTGCATTGTGTCACTTCCCTTTTCTCTAGCTCAGGACTTTCAGTCAAGAATAGCTTTGAGGATTCTAATTGCTGTGCTTGGTGTGCCGAAGTTACAGCTAGGTCTTTAAACTCCAATGCAAAACGACTCTTCTGTTGGCTGGGGACAATAATATTTATCCACTGTCACTTGCTTTGACAGATTATGATGCATTTCAATTGCACGTTTGAGATRGAAATATGCTTCCCACCAGAGATGCCTGCATTTCAGCTAAGTAGACAAAATAAAGGCGATGGCTTTAGCCATAACTTTTTGTGTCCCCCTCCCCTCCCTAGAAAAAAGCTTTTGTTTGTGTTTTAAATTACCCCAGTGCTGTARATCGTGGGGAGCTGAACAGCCTCTGCTGACGAGGCTTCCATCAGCTGGCCCACAGGGTGTCATGGAAGTACTCGAGTTTGATATTAAGCTCACTAAGGTATCTCAGGGCTCTCATCTGCACTGACAACAGTGCCTCATTCAAAGCAAGTTTTAGTCAAAAAAGCAATATCATCACTTCTCTGCTATTTGCAAAGAATTACAGTTCTCCCATCCTGCTTGCAAACGTGGGCTCCTAATAGGGATACAACTGCTGCGTCGTGAAACAAACACGTCACTTGACCAGTCTAGAAAGAAAGTATTGCCATTTCAATTTCGCAGCTGTTCAAAGCATCTTGAAGATAAACACGCCCTTCATATCTGCATGTCACAGAACACGACAGCACAGGAAAAAGGCCTTGGTGCATGGCAGGCTGCTGACCTTTTGAGTAAGATATCAAATGCCAGCTGGAAGTTACTTGGCACAAAGATACCATAGRAGTTGGTATTCTGTTGTACCCAAGGTGAAAATCAATTTACCCATCCTGCTTTCCTTCGTGCACTCTGAACTTTAAATTTTATGTAATTCCAGATAAAAGGGAATCACATTTGTTACACGCACAGCCAAGAGAACCGTATTACTTGCAGGTTGAATAGAAAGAGCCCTTACATTTCCCGACAGGGCCTRCCACTTATCCGGGGCTCAGAGGAGAAAACCACATCTGTCGGTTCTAACTGCACAAGGCACAAACACGCAGGAATTAAATACAGATTTCCTAGAGCATGCTATTAGCCACAGAGTAGCATTTTCATAAATTAACATTAATTATATTTCAAATAGACCAGCAAAACTCACACGCGCATTTTGCAAATGTATCAACAACTCCAGGACTTCCAGGACTTGTGGAGGAAACACACACCTTGAGTTAATGAGGGCATCGCACCTATTTTGAAGTGATGCTGCTAGCCAACCCTGAATTAAAAACCCTCTCTGCTGCCAAGAACTTCCATTTAGATTCATTAAAGKCAAGGATATATACAAGTTTTATAGTTTATATAAACTACTGAACAAAAAATATCAGCAAGTAAGGTTCAGTTTGCTTTTGCTGAGAATCAACTGTTTAACAAGCCCCACTCTACTCCTATTCTTGAATAGACTACTTAAAAAACCCTCTCTCACAATGGAATTTAGTATAATAAGCCCAATAACTGAAACCTATTACATATCATATGCTATATATGCACTATATGTTACAAACATAGATTTAAAAAACGTGTCTTATCAAAAAAAGAGGAATACTCCAACCTTTTTAACCATACATCAGCTACAGAAACTAACAGTCCAATTCACATCAGTATCTTAGCAAGTGACTAGAACCTCAGATCAAGTCCTTAAAGAAAAATTTGTGTCACAAAGTCAACACTTAATTTTACGATAACGCATACACCACATAAATGACTTGTATGGACAGCCAAGGCTTTAGGCTGAAAGGCTCTCAAATTAAAAGTCCATTTGAAGTTCAGCATTGTAAGAGAGAGAGACATTGCTTCCCAGATGGACACTGAGACATCCTGCTCTGGAACTCACCACCCATAGAGCTTTCTGTCCTTTACTCCACTTTTCAGTCAGCTTGGCTCCTGTTCATCCRCTGAGCTAACATCAAGTGAGAAATTCCAAAGGGGGAAGTCACATCAACATAACATTAAAAGAAAAATATCACCAAAATGTTCTCACCTGGTCCTTAAACACAAGAGTATTCCAGAACTGGAAAACAAAGCAAACCAAAACTAGCACTCTTTATATTCGGCAACTTTTAGTCACCATCTTTTCCAGATTTACCTTAGCAAAACAAATGACAGCAGTGTTGGGGGAGTTCAAATACCTCCTCACTTCCTTCTCAGCACATTTAACATTACGTACAATAATCTACCAAGCACGTAGCTTCTCTGAATGACTACATTACTTAATAACAGGGACGGACAATGTTTCAAAGAAAGCCATGAGATATTTTAAACGAATGTCACCCATACAAGGGCAGGATGCAATAATTGGCAAGGTGCACCTTTCTGAGTGCTCTTCTATTGGCGGCTCAAGGAGYAACTCATATCCTAAAATAACTTTGGGGTTTTGCAAACAGCATGCAGGATTGCAAAAGGTGCGCTCAGCTTTCAGGAGGTGCTGTCAGAAAGTGTTTGTTTGCATTAAAACATCCAGCTGAGAAGCTGCGGCCCCAATGACACGCAAACACTCCAGGCATCCACAAAGCCGCTCCAAAGGGAGACAATCCAGCTGCTTCCGATGACACGGGAAGCACAACARCGGCAAAAACCAAACTAAAAAACAAATGACAATCAACAGGAAATATTGATAAWACAGCATCGTAAACTATAAAAATCAGGAACGAGCATCGGAAGAATCACGGCGCTAGCAGGGCTGTAGCGGGTGACGCCACCACGCGAGGCCTGCGGGGCAGACCTCGGCCAGCTGCACACCCAACGCGTGCCGACGCTGCTCACGGACACGGAAAAACGCATCAATTGAGAACCAACCCAGCGAGCACAGGCGTTGGAGCACGCGCGCTGCCAGGAGGAGCCCCCCGCGACACGGCTCTTTTTGGGGGAGCACTTTCGGGGATGGGACGGGGACGGGTGCCGAGCGTTAGGGCAGGGCACACGTGCTGGGCACGCCGCCCGCGGGGCCCGGCCCGCCCGAGGCAGCGCCAGGGCCAGGCCGGCGGCCAGGGGCGGCCCTCGCG